CTATGGCCAAAGCTGACAACTGGAACAAAGTTTCTAAAGCCGAATCTATGGAGACTTTACCTGAACGGACCAAGGTGCACGAATCACAAATGTCTCTAAAGAAGACGGACTCATGTGACAGTGGTATCACCAAAAGTGACCTGCGCTTGGACAAAGTGGGTGACTTCCGCACAATGTCCCAGGACCGCAGTCCTATCCAGCCACCAGAGACCAGGCACACCTTTTACCCCATCCCAGAGCAAACCCTTCAGGCCTCGCTTCAGGAGCTCAAGCTGGAGCTGAAAGACGATCTCAAGAGCCTGAACATTCGAATGTCCGACTTAGAGGCGCAACTCACTGAAGCACTTCAACTCCTCAAAGTGAGAAAATCAAGTGTAGGTTCTCCACAGCCTCTTTTTGACATTTCTAGACCTGCTTCACCAGAACTCGACAAAGAGGACATCTTCTCTTGAAGGGTGGAGGAATCATCAGGCAAAAGGTAACTCTGAACTCAGCTGGAATCCAGTAATCCAGATTACTTGGATAGCTGAGGCTGCACTGGGCACAGCGCCTAGAAGAGGCAATGCTAGCCTTTATCATACGAGCATATGTAGTGGTTGACAAGGGAATGCTGTGTTGAAAAGTGGAGGTCGCAGCCCAGATTTCAGTGTTGCAACACCGAACAGCTCCGTATTTGTATGTACGTTTGATTTATTTTTCCATTGCACTATAATGGAAGAAGAACATAGTGGTATTTCTGTTGGAGCACTCAACAGAAACAGCATGACTCACTGGTTTGTTATAGAATCATTTGTATGAGAATCTTTGCATGTCACATAAAATAGACGCGTGCCTCAAACTGCAGATGGTGCATATTTGATTAATTGAGGCTGCACGGTGAGTCATTTGCATTATTTCACAGTGGCAGTGAAAAGGACGGTCTTTGCAGATGCTGAAACAGGCTCAGTAATTTCCTCCAGCAATTGAACTCTTTATAATATAAACTGTCAGGATCATCATGAAATATACAACTGATCAACCCTGGCCAAGCAATCTGATTTTCAAAACCATTTTTTAGCAGGGCTTATTCATAAACCACAAATAGATATGTTTGAAAAATGAATGCAGTGCTGACTAGCATGGTTGAAATGAGCAAGTTATTCATATTTTCTGATCTTTTATTTGTTGTCAAACACTAAAGCCACATACATGATACTGTACATACAGTATATTGTTAGAGAGCCATGCGTATTTAGCTTTGGAGATGCATAATGAGAATTCTCATGGTACTAATTATGGCAATGCCTGTTACTCTATTTTAAAACAGTCATGACCATAGTAAGGAATGCATTACAAGTTAGCATGCATGATTTAATGATGTCTTCACATTTACCCAGGGGAAAAACATTATCCCTTGATGACATGAAATACAAGTTTAGCATTAATAAGGGATAAAAGATTTTGCACACATGTTCAGGCTTGTTTGCAGAGCATGCTGATCTCCATCAGGACTATGCTTTATTTGGAGGCATCTCACTTCCAGCCTACACAAACTTAAACATGTTCCTTAAATGCATTTTCAAACTGGGAGGCAGTCACCATTCGAGTCCAACTGTTAACTCAGTGGATGACCACATTTTTTTAGATTAGGGCTACAAGTAACTATTCTTTTCCTTAATCAGTTAATCTGCTAATAATTTTACGTGTCAAGAAATTACATGTAATTTGTGGCATGTCAAATCATTAAAAACCATTAGTTTGGCAAAGCCCAAAGTGATGGCTTCCTTCTATTTGTTAGTTTTAGAATGTTTAAGATTTAATGTTATTAAATTCCACAGATGTTATGTTTTCCTTTCTTCAAATAAATGTAACTACACCAAACCTGTGCAGAATAATCAAGTCAAAAATAAATGTTTAGGAACAAGTAAATAGTAATTTTATATTTTGTTATCTAAATTCCACTTTTAAATAAAATAAATCTGTAAATTAATCCACTATCATTGTATTGGTGGACAGGAACAGGGAGATGTAGTTTAGAGCATGGTAACTGAAATCAATGGATTTACAACAGACGACTAAGAC